AGGGAAAAATATTATCATTTAGATTTTGACCCGCGCTTAGAAAACATTATCATTTAGGTTACACTTTTAAAAAAGGAAGATATCTAAATCATAAATAGATACAAAACGATAAACTTACATTTGCATCACAAAGGATTAGTTCCATGGTCTCCTCTATGTCGTTCATGAAATGTCTCCATGTATGAAAGATTTTGACTTGGATGCGACATGCAGTCTTCCTCGGTTTTATATCACGACAACTGCAAATTATTCGTCATTTTTGATTTAAGTTTTTCAATGAATGATGATTATAGTGGTTAAAAGAGGCTATATTTATAATAGGTAGGGACGATATACATTTAGGTTACACAAATGTAAGAAAGAATATTTAGACAATTTTAAAAAATATCTCTTTCGAGGAATAAAGAATATTTCTTGAAGATATTTTGAATTAGTTAAGAAGTTTAAAGTTTAACAGTTAATGGTAATACAACTACGGTAAGTTACCGAAATTTATGGAATCCAAACAAAGAATAACTAACCACGATATTGATTGTGGTTAATTTATAAACTTGTAGATGAAACAATTCATTTATTTTAGTACGAAGATAATTATAGAAAATAGTTTTTGCAATATTTTCTTAACAAAACGTATCTCATTTATTAAATGTTACCATGAGAATGATGATATATTGACATATGAAGAAAAGTTAATACGAAAATATTTGAAATTATCTTGCATATAACAAATTTAGTTATTATTCAATAACAATCTTAATATATTATTTAAATATTTTCAAAATCAGATATCAAAGATATTACCAAAATCTTTTCTAATATTGCATTTTGACAATATCTTTTAATATATTTTTCAGTAAAATATAAATATTTATTGTTTTAATATTTATTTTAAATAATAGAATGTACTTTTAAATATTATTACAAATAATTTTAATTCATTTGGATTTATGAAATAAGAATTACCATTACTATAATATTTATAAATACATTATTTATATTCATAATTAAATTACTACAATAAATAATATATATATATATATAATAACTTAATTAAAATTATTTATAAACAATAAATTAAAAGAGTTACATATTCATGACAACATATATTCATAGAGTTTACAACATACTTCAATTTCTTAATGCAAAATATTAAAATATATATTAAAAGAATAAAAAATTATATTTAATATAATATCTAAATTACTATATTAAAATATAATTTAGTATATTTTTATTTGATAAAAAAATATTATTTTTTGTTGATTTTATTATACAGTATATTTAATTATATATTATGATTGAAAATTACAATTTATTTTATAAATATGTAAAAATTTATAAGTATGAGAGCATCTAAACACCATATAATTAATTTATATTATAATAAATATTTATGTAGTCAATCTATAGATTAAAACCGTAATATAAAGTTTATAAGACAATATAAATGTATGAAATATAATATGGAATATGGTTAAAGTAATTAATGGAAAAAAAAAGAATAAATCGGGTATATTTAATATGTGATATGATTTGTAACAATTGATATATAGATGTAATACCAAAAAAACAAATTACCAAAATGCCATTAATGAGGATGCACACAACTTCCATTAGTGATTTTTCAAGATTACCTTTACTTTTAATAGTATAGACTAGCTTTTATACTCGCGCTACGCGCGAGTCTGTATTAATAATTTAAAATAATTTAAAACAAAAAAATAATTGAGTAATATAATTTTCTTATTGAAAATATAATTTTTTAATTTAGTATTTATGTTTTCTTATAATTCTGTTATCTTATTAGCTATTTAGTTATTTGTATTTGTAAATATAATAATTATGTTTGTAAACATATTCATAATTATTGGAAATATTAATTTATATAATAAAATATTAAATAGATTTCTCAATGCATGTAAATTGTTAGCACATTATAATATTTTCATCATACATTTTTATATTTTCTAACAAAATAAATTATTAAACTTCAGCATAATATATCATTTTTCTTTGTACTCAGAAAATATAATTTTTTATTTTCTCTTTAAATGTATAAAATTTTAATATTTAAATAAGTAATATTAAGATTTTTTTGTATATGTAATGAATAACTGTATTTATTAACATATTTTTATAGTATAGATTTTTGTTACCATTCACCTTTTTAGAAATAACAAAATTAAGATGGTCATTTGCCAAATTCTTTTGATATTTACTTTATGTTAATTTTTAAAATTCTTCTATATACTTAGTTAACTACCTCACTTATATATGATGTTGTTACTTTTGTAATTTTATCAAATTTTGATACTGATTTACATTTTATTTTGAAATAGATCATTTTTGTTAATATTGACTTTTTCTAAGAAATATCAAAATTAAGATAATTAGTTATTTTAATGTTAATTTCACAAATCTGTAATATATTAAAGTTAACTTATATATAATGTTTTTGGCAACATTAACATTTTTTAAAATAAAAAATAAAAAATTATGTATCATGATATGATTTTTTTAAAATTCTATGTGAAAGTTTTCAATGGCTTTTAACTCAATTTTATATAGTATATAATATATATATATTACTATTCATTTTTTAAGAAATAGCAAAATTAAGATAATTATTTGACTAATTATTTTTGGTAATTATTTTATGTTCTTTTCGAAATTATTTTTTAAGAAATAGCAAAATTATGATGTTTTATTTTTGTAAGTTTGCCATATGTGATATTGATTTATATTTTGTTTTGAAATTAATAATTTTTTTAATATTGACTTTTACAGAAATAGTAAAGTTAAGATAATTTATTACTTTAAATAATTTCGAAAATCTATAAATGTTAAAATTAACTTATGTATATTATTTTACTTTTTTAAGTTTCCTTTATACATATTTATTGTTATCATTTTTATTTAGTAACATTAACATTTTTAAAAATAGCAAATCAAAAAACTTATGTGTCATGATATGATTGGAAGACTTAAATCCTATGTGGTTGTTATAGTCATATTGACTTTTCCAGAAATATAAAAAATTAAGATAATTTGTTATTTTAATTTTAAAATTAAATTATGTATAATGTTTTAGTTTATTAAGTTTCGCTTATGCATATTTTCTTTAGTAACATTAACATTTTTAAAAATTAAAAATAAAAAAACTTATGTGTCATGATATGATTTGAGGACTTAAATTCTACGTGGACGCCCTCATGGCTTATAGCCTCAACTTTTATATAGTATAGATAATATCTGAATAAATTTTGTCATATCTTTTGATCAATAAGTAATAACTCGAAACTTATTAGCAAACCAGCCTTATTGATGTTACGTGCTTCGCAAAAGTGAATCCTTTTAGCAAGAACCTCAATCTTATTAAAACATTTTCTAAGATCATCGAAAACCAAAGAAGAAGTCAAAGCAACCATTGTATCAATATCTCTTTTCTCTTTCCAATATCTCTCTGTTTCTCAACATATATTTTGAAAACTTTTAGAACTTTAGACAATTATTTATAGTCACTCAATACTTCATATGTTATAAAAAAATTATGTTAATATACAAACATTTAGAAATCCTAACATTAAAATTTGGAAATCTTGACATTTTAAAATTAATAATTTATATTAATAATCTGCTTTATTCTATTTTATGTTAATATACATAACTTTGGAAATCTAGACATTTAAATTTGGAAATCTTTACAATTTAAAAATTAATAATTTGATTTATTCCATTTTATGTTAATATAGAGAAATTTGGAAATCCTATCATTTAAATTTGGAAATATTAACATTTTAAAACTAATAATTTATATTAATAGCCTAATTTATTAGATAATATAATTTTTAACTAAACTAATTTGGAAACAATGGTATTTTAAAAAAAAAATTTAAATTTATTTTATTTTGTAAGATTATTTTGTTACTTTTACTGTTTTACTATTAGATTATTATTTTATATTTGTATAAAATATACTTTATATTTAGTATATCTAAAAAGACAATAATGTTTTGTAAATATTTTTTTTCAATTTTTTTATAACAGTTAATATTCTTAAATAAGTTGTAAAATTTTAATATTTATTTTTTAGTTAAATTCTATATGGAATATTAATTTCGTTTTTAATATAATTTGGAAACATTAACATTTTCTAAAAATAATACTTTACATTTAGTATATCTAAAAAGACAATAATGTTTTGTTAATACTACGTTTTTATTTTTGATTTTCCATTTTTATAAT